GCAAACTCTTTGGGAGGGGGGTATGGGGAGGAGGTGGGAGGGAGACGGAGAGGCCGGGCCGGGAGCCCCGGAGCGGCGGAGGCTGGGCGGGGCCGGGTGTGAAGGGAGGCAGGACCCGCGACGAGAGCACGGACCGGGCGCTGGAGACCCGCAGGCCCGGGGGTAGCGGGGAGTGCGGGGACACCTGGACAGGCGGCCGAGGCACGGGGAAGGACGTGCCGGGGGCAGGAGGACCCAGAGAGCCGCCTGGGGTGGAGCGAAGGGGAGCTCGGGGCTGGACCAGCGATTGTTCCCCCGGGAAGGACCGGGATCCTGAGAGGACTTGGGATTTCTGAAGCGGAACACGCCCACGCGAGGAGCAAGGTGCGGGCCGGGCGGCCACGGTTCACGCTCCTCCTGCCCGGCCCCTCGGCAGCCCGGGGCCGAGGACCGTGAGGAGAAGCCCCGCCGCTCAGGTGCGCGCCACGCAGCGCCCGAGGCTCCGCGGCGTCTTTTTTCTGAGAAAGGAGAGGGGGTGGGGGGAGGGGGGCCTGTACCTGGAGCGTCCCCACAGACGATAGGAGTTTAAAGGACCACTCAAGGGAATTTTAAAAAGAAAATGCTACATTGGAGTTTTTTAAGGACCAAATAGGAAACGCGAGGAAATATGGTAACTGCTATTGGGAATATAAATGAGGTTTGTCGCGTTTTAAGCCTGAACAGAGAGCACCATCCGCTCTGAAACCAATCCTGACAGAAAGGATGTGGAGTTGGTAGGTCCCAGAACTGACCAGGTGATCCCCTTCGGCCGTTAGTATTTTCACACTGTAGACTTTTTTTTAACGTCTGTAACTTATTCCGTACTAATGTGACTAATACCTATAGCATCCTTTATAAAGCATAGACTGAAAAATGAAAAAAAAATTTCTAAACATACTTGTCCCGTGTTAACATTGCTCACTGGAAAAGGCTAATATTTTTGGTGTACACTGTATATAATTTGACCCTCAAACGAGTTAAAACTAGTGTTTCTATATGTACATTTATGTTTTCCTCTACCTCATCTAAGACACATCTGGTGCGTGGATTAAACAGACCTAAAGAACAAGAGAGACCCAACCTACTGCCCTTATTTTCAGAGGAAACTTGGATCTAGAAGAGTGTGATTTGACCAAGGCCTGCCTCACAGTCGCAGGATTCAGTTTAAACCCTAGGATTAAAGCCTAACTACCAATGCCATAAGACCAGGGTAACTCTGAGAAATTTAGTGGTGCGATGCCTGTAATTGGGTTTATTTATTTATTTATATTTGGAGGAGGTACTGGGGATAGAACCCAGGACCTTGTGCATGCTAAGTATGCACTCTACCACTATGAGCTATACCCTCCCCTCATAGTTCAACATTCATAGTGGAATGAAGGCATATTGTGGTTTAAATTTAACCCTCACTTTGCTCCAGTCACACTGCAAGCGTGGTCAGCTACCTTTAAATAAAAAAGTCGTAGTCCTAAGGCCTTAGCTGCTAGAGCTTCTCTGGCTTAACCTTCTGTCTACACTATTTAGCGTGGTGAATCTTAGTAATAGGCTCTTAGTGGTGAAATCTGTTGTGTTCACTAAAATATTTTAGAGAAACTCCTCATTTTCATGTGAACTAGGTGTAAGCAGGTATAAAATCTAGTGTTCTTTCACCTTTTACCTTCCAAAATGGAGTCCTTTCTGAAATGGTCGCCTCCAACCTTTTTTGGTGTGGGAAGGGAGGGATGATAGTTCTTGTTTGCCTACTACTGACTCAAAGGGAAACAATTATCTTTTGTCTCTATTGTCTCAAGAAAACCTTTCATGTGAAGTGGGTTTCTTGAACAACAAAGAAAACACCTTTTTTGAAGGACAAAAAAAGACATATTGCTGGGATTTCACTAGATATTTTTGTAATAAAGATGTATCTCGTGGAACTGACCTTGTTTTCACCTTTTAGGGAGGTGGTACAGGGTGTAGTTAATCTTCACTTATCTCTATTTATGTCTACCATATCTACGTCATTTTACATCAGGGAGCTGAATTCCTTATCATTGTCTTTGATATTTGAATGATGACTTTGAGCAAGACACATGCTGGGTGCTACTGGAGATTCAAATATTTTAAGAGATGGTTTAGTAGAAAAGATTATAGTTTTTCTTTTAAGTCCTAATGGCTCTCCTGTTCCAGCCTAAATTACAGCATTTATGACACTATATTGTAATTTTTTTCTGGTTTTTACTCTCTCCTCAACTGGGCAGTGGGAAAACATAGATAAGCCATTCATATTTTTTGTTGTTTTTTCTAATGAACTATTTTAGAACAGTTTTAGATTTTCAGAAAAATTGAGAAGATAGTGTAGAGTTTCCCCATATATGCACTTAATTTCCTGTTATTAACACATATTTGTACTTATTACAATTAGTGACCTAATGTTGATACATTATTATTAACTGAAGCCCATAGTTTATTCATATTTCCTTAGTTTTAACTTAATGCCCTATTTCTGTTTCAGGATCCTTTCTAGGGATCCCACATTCTATTTAGTGATCATGTCTCTTAAGGTTCCTCTTGTCTGTGACAGTGTCTCAAGCTTTCCTTGTTTTTCATGACCACAACAGTTTTTCAGGAATAATGATCAGGTATATTGTAGGATGCCCCTCTTTTGGAATTTGTCTGACATTTTTTTCTCATGATGAGGTTGAGTTCAAGGATTTGGGAGGAAGACTGTAGAGGTAAAGTGCCTTTTCAGCACGTCATATAAAGGGTACATACTAGTACCATGCTTTATCACTGTTGATGTTGACATGGCTGAAACAGTGTTCACCAGACTTCTCCACTGTAAATTTTCTCTTCCTCCCCCTTTCCATATTACTGTTGGAAGGAAGTAACTATGCACGACGCACAGGTAAGGAGTGGAGAGGTAATACTGCCTCTTTTAGGGTAAATATCTACATAATTTGAGGGGAATTCTTGTGCACTTATTTATACTTCTTTCTCCAGGGATTAGCATAGTGCCCTCATCATCATAGGCTGTTATGGATTGCAAGACTAGGTTTGAATGAAAATTTCTCCTCTAAGAAAATGGATAATATTCTCTGCATTTTAGCAGGAATAAAATGCTGTATGCTAAATTTCCATTTGTTTTTTAATATTTGTTACAGAAGGGAAGATAAATGAGGTATTTGTGGTGGTGGTGATGGTAGGTGTTTTGTAGTTTTCTTTACAAGAAATGGTATTGCTTAAATTTTATTATTGTTTTAAATGTTTGTGGCACCCCTTAGGAGACCTCCCACTCCACTTATTAACCATATTACTTATTTTGGCCAATGAAATGTTAACAGAAATGATGTGTGCCACTTTCAAATGGAGTCTTTAACTTTCCTGTGGTTCCTCTATTTCTCTTTGCCCTCAGCCATTAGATCAGCATTTTTCCGGATGAGGATGGCCCCTTCCAGAAATGAAGGCCACAAGGAGCCCTCCATCAAATCACAGAGGACATAAACGTAAGTGAGAAATAAACCACTGAGATTTGGGGTTTTGTTGCTACCACACCTTTACCTAACCTATCCAGTCTGATTGCTAAGTCCTTCCTGAGTTCCTTAAATTGGACCACCAAGTGCCGTACTGTGTTAATTCTCACAGGTGGTCACCTTTGTGGTACAGCTAATCAGACCCATTTGTGTTTGGTTACGACACAAATATGTTTAAAAATGGTTATCCATTATGTTTAAAAATAAACATTTTTTAATGAATGAAAAAATCCCATCCTTTAGTTATGACACTACCAACAAAATTAACCAAACACCCACTACGTGCAGAACCCTGGAGCAGATGCTGTAAGATTTTTTCTGAATGCTAATTTTAGGATGATGCCATTTAAAAAGTAAAGATGTAATGTTCAGAAGTAATAGATAAAGACATTCAGCTAGAATAATACACAGAGGTGGCTCTTACTATGAAGTGAATGACGCTTAAGGGGCCCTCATTTGCGCAGATGCCTTCTAAGGCCCTATATTCATGATTTAGTATTATTTTATTTTCAAGGGCCCCAGATATGTATATGCATCAGACCCCACCAATCCTGGCTCGTTCCTTGTATACTACCAAACATGAAAGGATGAAAAATAGAGCTGTAAGAATTACAAGAATGACAGGCAACATTCTCACAATCTGTGCATCTGACCTCCCAGAAAGGACTCTGTGCAAGGTGGCCCTCAAGTTGGGTTCTCCAGTCATATTTCACTCTGAGTCAGCATGTGCATCTATAACAGGAGAAGAGGATATAATCCGCATTAGGCAGAGCCTCTCGAAATCAGAAACTACCCAATCTGCAAGGCCAATTCTGTTCCATGTCATTTTCCCTTCACGTGGCTTTCATTTTATTTGAAACCCAAAAAGTCTTTGAGCACATTATTAGTCCTCTTCATGGAAGTTCCAGTTTCCATTGAGATCATTTTTTTTCCTAGAAGTAATTTCATTTTGAAAATAATTTTTCTCGTATTTGCTGATAATACTTCCTTGGGAGGTTTAAGTGACTATTTTTTTCTGAGTTAATTTTGTCGGTTTCTAGTCCTGCAACAATGAATATTGTATTGCTCATCATCTGTTCAGGAATTCCCATTGAAGGCAGAGGTGTGTGCAGTAATGGAGGTTGTAATGTGACCCGTTAAGAAATTCTTTCCCTTGCTAAATTTTGAATAGAAACTAGATGAATATGCTGCCTCTATTTTTATAATAATTCCTTTCTTATGCAAAAACGTGTGGGTCATAATAAGGCTTAATCACAACCCATTGCTCATTTATGAAGTACTCTGAACTGCAATTAGTCACATACAAATGTGAAGTGCTGTTATCATGAGCACGTTAGCAGGCTGTCAAACCAAGTTTTTGAATTATGAAACAATCAGAGAAAAGCCTTTGGTTTTTATACTTTCACAGTGAGTGTCTTTTAAAAAAAATAGTTTTCATATCTGCATAAAGGTGAACTATGTGCCTTAAATCTATAGCTAACCAGTTTACATTGAAAGAAAAGATTTCAAAATCTAGATATATATTTAACAATATGTGCCTATATTTATGCACAATATTGGTGGGTAAATTAGAATCCTTAATATAAAATAATTCTCAAATAAATTTTATGCCAATAAAGTTAAAGTAAGAACATGAACATATTAATAGTATTTGTAGGTTGTTTTTCACTATACTTGAACTAATCAAGTTTTATTTCAGCTCTTATAAAATGTTAACTTATGATGTGAAAGTATAAATTTAACGTTACCTTTTGAACTTGGGGTATTCAACCAGCTGCATAATGTTGTTTGCCGTATGAATAAATATATACAAATTTTAGGATGCCTTTTTGAAGGAATCTATTCTCAATCCTCTAAGAGTTAAGGTTTGCTTCCAGCTGTGGAAAATCTAAATAAACAATGCCTTGAGCAAAGTAAAAGTTTTATTTATTTTTTTTTAACACAATAAGAAGTCTGGAGATAGGAAACTGCTGGTATTGGTTTGGTAGCTAAAGGATAGAAAGGCAAGGTTTTGTGATTTTTCAAGGCCTTTTCTTATTGTCAAAAATGGCTGTTGCAGCTCCAGCCATCCAATATACTTTCTAGAGGATAAGAAAAGGCAAAGGTGCGGGGAAATATTAAAAGGGTAACACTGTATCAAGGAAACAGAGACTTTCTCAGAATTCCCAGACTACTACCTAGTTCTCACTGACCACAGCTACGTCACCACATCAACCCAGAGAGAGGCTGGGATACTAAATTTTTTTTCATATGTATTTATTTACTCTTTATTTTTCCAGCCTCTATAACTTAGACAATGACAAGGGAAAAAAACATTTGAATGGGTGAGTGAACCAACCTATAATATCTGCCAGAACTCCAAAGCTAAGTTAAAAAAAAATGATATTGACTCTACCAGAAAAATTTTGTTACTCAATATTTTTAAAAAGACTATGCTTTATTACAAAATTTCATGGAGTTTCGGAAATTTGTGACCCTGATTTTAGTAATCACATCTAATCCACACAATTTTACAAATGAGGAAACAGTTCCAGAAGTTTTAAGTAAGTAACCCAAGACTGCAATTGGGTCTTATTTATTCCTCAAACCTCGCTCTGATCTAACACACACCTTATATGTCAGCATCTTCCTCCAAGTGTAACCCCAGGCCACTCTGCCTTTTCTTTTTAGAAGAAAGAAAGGAAGGAAGGAAAGGAAGAGAGGGAGGGAGGAACAGGAAGGAAGGGAGGAAGAGAGAAAGGAAGAAAGACAATTATGCCTACCATTTTCCTCTAACTTATTCCCTTCTTCTGAGCCAAAATTCCATATGTGGTAAAAGTTTTCCAATACATTTAATCTCATTGGGATTAGTATATAAAGACAGTTTAACATCACAACCCTCCTTTTCTGCTGTCCCATTCTAAATCTGCTGTTATCTTTGCAGTTACTACTTCTGAACCTTCAGAATATTGGAATGTTCCTTCCTTCTCTAGAGATAATTGTAATTGCCTAAGGAGTACATTCTCTTCTGTAATTCCTTGTGGCTGCCTAAAAAGATAAGATACAGCTATAAAATAGTCTTAAGAAAATTCAAGTTAGAAAAAAATATTAATTTGGGGACTGATTATTTTAAAAAATTGTTTTGTAACAGTTTTGATCATTGAAATCTATAATCATGTAGTGTTAAATATAATTGAAAACTCTGGGAATTTTTCATAAAATTTATGAAGTGTTTAAAAATTTTAATCTCTGGATTTTATTGCATAATGAGCTCTTCTAGCGACTTCAAAATTCCCAGTTTTCATTTTCATGCAATCAAGAACACACAGAAAACATTAAGTAAATTAATTCCCATTATACCATTGTCTTTTTTCTTTTAATAATTCATGGTAATGTGGATTTCAAATATTTAAGCATTATTTCTTCCAGACAAAAGAATAGCAGTAAACAGCTTTTGAATTATCTGAGTGTCATTGGCAGAAACACCAAGATTTTATAACTGAATTTTCATAAATTGTCATGTTACTCTGAACAGAGTATCAAGTATAAGACAATGATGGAGCAGAGTAGACGGTAACATGAACTTGTCCTAGGGTGACACCCCTCAGATGTCAAGTCTTCTATTGGACAAATGAGCAACTTCACTATGAAGCCGTAGAACTTATATTTTACTCTATAAAAAGGAAACAAAGCCCTACAGATATAAAGACAGTGAACAAGCAACAATCTGACAGTGAATTCTGATGGCATATTTGCTTTCTCTAAGTTATGCATGATTACAAACAACTCCCATCAACCTCAAAGTTTTATTTCATGCTCATGAAATTGGTCCTAGGCAGGTCAGCTGCCAGTCTCCTCCATGATGTGTCTGTTCCAGGGCCTAGACACATGGTGCACGCCTATCTCAAAAGTACATTCTTGGCAGAGGGAGCAATGCTATGGTGAATACTGGTTTTAAAAATTTCTGCTTTAAAGTTGCATACATCAATTCTCCTCATATTTCATTAGTGAAGGCAAGTCACTTAGCCAAGTCTAACTTCAGCATAGTAGAAAGTATAATCCTCTCACAGGGAAGAGCCTCAAGTAGTATTGATAACACTATAATAATAGTATGTAATGAGGATTTCCAATACACCAGGTACCAGGCTAGGTGACTAGAACAGAGATTGTCCCATGTAATTATTATAACAACCCTAAAATTTGGCTACTAATAATTGTTACCATTTAAGAGGAAATTAAGACAGAGTAAATTAATACTAAAATCCCACAGCTAACGAATGAATATTGGCACCTAAATTCAAACACAGGCAGTCTGACTCCAGAGCCTAGCTCCTAACCAGCATGCTTAAGTAGCACACAAAGTCCTGTTCCACAGTTTACTGATTATGGAATTCAGGAGGTGAAAGATGCAATATTGGAAGTATGAGATAAACAAAGGAAGCTCATTAAGACTTTAGCACTAAGTCAGCAAGTCCTGGTAATATAACTATTCAATAAACTTGGTTACTTACTATGCATCCCTTGCAATATCCTTAACGGTATAGAAAGAGACATTCCTGGGGATTGAGGCTAAGAAGACCAAGAAGGATTAAGTGAGACAGGTTATATTTATAGAAGAAAACAAAGATCAAGACCAAAGGGACTGAAACTAAGTAAGATCTGGATGTCTGGCCTTTCAGGCTACTGAACTACCTGTTCCTAGTTATGAGGAATTTGTGGTCAAAACTAAATTTACACAGGATGTTCCTTTATTTGTAGGTGTCTATACTAAAGCATTTTCTTAAATCTTAAGATGGTAATAGTTTTGTTTACAATATGTACTTGTGACTCATCCTCAACTGATGCCACTTTATCACATCTGAAATTAAGTAGATATTGCTTCTGGCAATAATAACCATCAGAAAGAACCATTCTGACATTGCTGTTGTGATGACATTGGTGTTATCATCTTCATCACAGCAGCTAGCATTCAATGAGATTTAGTAAGTATCAGG